GCGTTGACAGAGAGGAGAAGGTAGAAATGACTCAGCCTGGAACTGAAAATATGGATGGAGGACAACAGAGCTGCTTCATGGAAGAAGAACCTCAGATTAGCATGTTAGCGTTAGCGCAGCCGCTATATTGCCTTATATGTATTAGCTCAGTGCTAGCGCGACAAACAAGCTAAACTGAGGTCCTCCATCCATATTTTCAGTTGCAGCTGAGTTATTTTTGTGTTCCCCTCTCTGTCATGTGGATGGAGGACCTCCGTGATGAGAGGAGAATGTGTAGCGCTGAGCTAATATATATGGTGATAGCATCGGGGCTAATGCTAAAGCTAACAGGCTAAGCTGAGGTTCTTCTTCCATGACGTGACGACGACGTGTTGCGTCGCCTTTTTTTCTACAAGTGTGAACCAACAGCTCCGCTCACAGTTCGGTTCTACTGACTCACATGTACTTGTCAGTGTTTAACCTGTCAGCACATGTTCAGAATGTTGTCAGAAACTGGTTTTCTCTGTGGAGATTTCTCTAAATTCCAACGTTTTACTTAGATTACAATTAATTATAGTAAATAAGTTGCTTAATTTCTTTGCAAGATTGAAGATTCAAACTCTATTTTTCCTTTTTTTTATTATTTATTTACTCGTGTGTTCAGATGTAAAATCCTTGTGTTTTGAAGAGTTTGCCCGGGTGTAAACGCTGCTCTCTTGCAGTTCCGGGGGATCTGGGGAACCAGCTGGAGGCGAAGCTGGATAAACCCAGTCAGGTCCACTACATCTGCTACAAGAAGACCGACACCTACTTCACCCTGTGGCTCAACCTGGAGCTGCTGGTTCCTGTGGAGATCGACTGCTGGATCGACAACATCCGGTGGGTTTCTGAAGGGGAGCCGTGTGCAGGGCTCACTTCTGCTTAAAGAAAACCCAGAACCGTTCTCTGGTTTCTGCTCAGTAAAACAGAACCGGTGCCACCGGTACAGAACTTCTCACTTCATGAATGTGGAGGAGCGTGAGATTGAAAAAAACAGGAAGTGTTTCTGTGGCTTCGTAGTAAAGTTTACTGTCAATCTCATTTAAATCAAACTGACACCTGTGTGTGTGTGTGTTTGTGTGTGTGTGTGTGTGTGTGTGTGTGTGTGTGTGTGTGTGTGTGTGTGTGTGTGTGTGTGTGAGAGCAGGCTGATCTACAACACAACCACACACACCACCTCCAGCCCACCTGGCGTGGACATCCGGGTCCCGGGCTTCGGTAAAACGTACTCCCTGGAGTACCTGGACCCCAGCAAACGCAGCGTCGGTGAGTCGGTGTCTGCGACAGAATCAACTGACTTTTTAAGCTGTGGCGGCCATCTTGGACAGGGCAGGTGATTTATTGCGTCGTTTCAGGCATGTACTTCTTCAGCATCGTGCAGGCGATGGTGGAGTGGGGCTACACCAGAGACGACGACGTCAGAGGAGCGCCGTACGACTGGAGGAAAGCTCCGAGTGAGAAACGACACGAACCCGTCTGAACCGACGGGAGAGGTCGCATCTCCTCACCTCCGCTTTTCTTCTTCTTCTTCTTCTTCCAGATGAGAATAAAGAGTACTTCCTGCAGCTCCAGCAGATGATCGAGGAGATGGCGGAGAAGGCGGGGCGTCCCGTGGTGCTCATCGCTCACAGCATGGGGAACATGTACACCCTGTACTTCCTCAACCAGCAGCCGCAGGCCTGGAAGGACAAATACATCCAAGCCTTGGTCTGCCTGGGACCCCCGTGGGCTGGCGTGGCCAAAACACTTCGAGTTGTCACGTCTGGTGAGAGGAAATTCAAATCTGTGATATGTAATAGAACAGAAACAGCCTCGCTGTGTGACATTATCAACTGTCAGGGTGGGCACAGTTCCCCTAAAGCACTAATAGGGGAACTTTAGGGCTTTTGCTAATTTAAAAAAATATTAGTGGATTAGCACTTGCTAAATTTAGAAGCACTAACTGAGGTCTATAAATGTTATTGATCAGCATTAATGTTAACAGCTGAGGGTGAAAACTGTCACACATTTTGTTCACATGTGACAATATATGAACCAGATCCAGCTGAGGAGTCAGTGAGAAGTGTTAAGAGAGCAACATGTGACTCGTTGTTTGTTGAAGAATGTTCATGGGTTGACTGGGTTATTTTAGTGCTTTACAATTAGCTTTTGCTAAAACTTTCAGTGCATTAGTGCTTTAGAATTAGGGGACTTAAACATTTGAGTTAGTGTTTTAGGGCTAGTGGAACTAATTTTTAGATTAGTGCTGCCCACCACTATCAACTGTAGCTATAATAATAGAATATATAATAGATTCTATTCTATCTAGATTATATTATTCTATTAAATAGAAGAATATAATAGAATTAAAGATAATAACAATAAAAAATAAACAGAGATCAAAATAAAAGTAAGAATCATTACTGTAACGGGCTATCAAGATGAAATTGGATAAAAAATTAAAAAAAGGTAAGATACTGTGCAGAAAAATATAAATTACAGGAAAAAGACAGTTGTGACAGACTAATGATCGGGGGGGGGGGGCAATTGATTCAAACTCAGTCATTAAGTCAGTGTTCAGTACAGGACAAAATAAAAGATGTACAACTGCCACAGGTTAGTAATGATTGAGAGGTAGAGGTTATGCTATGTGTTGTGTTATGCTTCCTCTGATTTGTTAGATTTTTCACAACCGCTTCTTCATTTTATCTTATTCCTGTTTCTTTAAATAATAAAACGTTTTAAACGCGTGATGTTTTCACAGGTTTAACTTTCACAAACTCAGTTCCTCCTCTGTCTCAGTTTTGGTTCTGTTTCATGTTTCTGTTCTCTTCAGGTGACAACAACCGCATCCCGGTGATCAGCCCCCTGAAGATCCGCTCCCAGCAGCGGACCGCCGTCTCCACCAACTGGCTCCTCCCTTACGCCCACTCCTGGCCCAAAGATAAGGTCTGCAGAAATGTCCATAAAGAGCAAAAGTATCTTCTGAATGAGTGTTGTTGAAACGTTGGCTCTACTGCTGACCTGTGGAGTCTGCCCTGTTCAAGATGGCCGCCGCAGCTCAGTCGGTTCTGCAGACGCTGAGCTAAACTTTGGTGTGGCAGTAGCTGAGAGTCTTCCACATCACAAACACACCTGACAGAACCCTGCATGATGAAGACCCCTAAAACACAAACCTTTTTTTTTTGTGCAGGTTTTTGTGCAGACCCCCACCACCAACTACACCCTGCAGGACTACGAGCGCCTCTACGCCGACATCGGCTTCAGCGAAGGCTGGCTGATGCGTCAGGACACGGAGCCGCTGGTGTCGGAGCTGACGGCGCCGGGCGTGGCCGTGCACTGCCTGTACGGCACCGGCGTGCCCACCCCCGAGACCTTCCAGTACACCGACAAGTTCCCCGACGTGGAGCCCACGGTGGTGAACGGCGACGGGGACGGCACGGTGAACCTGCGCAGCGCCGTCCAGTGCAAGCGGTGGGCGGTGCAGCAGAAGCAGCCCGTGGTCCTGAAGGAGCTGCCCGGGAACGAGCACGTGGACATGCTGACCAACTTCACCACCGTGGCCTACGTCAAAACCGTGCTGCTGGCGCCGTGAGACATTCAACCACAAAGTGTTCGTCCAAACTCCCACTGCCAAAGATTCAATGTTTACGCCCAGAAACTCAACGAAAAAGTGTTCAAATAAATCAGAAACTGACTAAATATTTATCTGTAACCCTTCAGATTATAGGATATTTACTGTAGAGCGAGAATAAATGCTTTTCTACCCGTCTTAGATTTTCAAAAGTGACTTTATTAATGTGTGTGAAATAAAAACAGAAATGAGTTTCGAACCAGGAATATGCTGTTTGTGCCATTTTAGCTTATTAATCCGAGTTAAATGGTTTATTAATGAGATTGTTACAAACTAAACTTATTTCTTAATTTGTTAACAGATTTTGTAGATTTAAGGTTGTGTAAAAATGAAAAGAAACAACCGCTCTGTTCTTTAGTTTTGTCTGATTTCTGATGTTTTTGTTCATTTCTATAAGCTTCTGAATGTTGATGTTATTGTGGGACGAGAGTTATTTTTATTTAATCCCTAGAATGTGGAGACTCTTATGAAAGCCATAGGAAGCTGGTAAAAAATAAGTTAACCTGTAAAAACCTACTTTATTTTTTCATGTTTTTTTTTTTTGTTTTTTTTTTAGTTTGAATTTTGTTCATCAAAAGGCTGGAATTACACACACACAAAAAAGACACAAATCTGATCTTGTTAAAGTTTTACTTTCTGTTTGTACACTCATCCCCCCGAGCCCCGCGGGGCAGAACTGCTCTGACCCGAGTGTTTGTACCGCTGCCCGACCGGGACCAGAACCTGTTTCATATGTGCTGTGAAATGTCACAAACTCTGCTGCCTTCTGAGTAAATGAGCTCAAATAACACCCAAACCTTGTGATTTTTATTCTTACAAACTG